ATTATCCTTTATATATTAACATAATTCTTTTTACATAAATGACATAGGTGACTAAATGTTCAAAAAAATAAAAAGTTTTGACATATGTGACTGGAAATTTTCATGCATAAGACTTAAATTGTTTGAATTATATAACAAATATTTTAATATATTAAGAATTAGTTGTATGATATTGTAAAGGTTTAAATTTCTAATATTTAATTCTAAATCAATATTTTTATGTTAGTGATTTCAATACAACCTATCTTTCCTTGTTTATATTACTTAATCTTGTTTACAAGTATAATTCTCTTAATGATACAATATTTTTGCCTAAAGGATATAAGATTATAGTTTGGGCTGAAAGAAAGACGAATCAGAATCATAAACACTGAATTTGATAAAGAAGCAGATAGAATTCGTAGCCTATATTTGGCCAATGGCAACAGTGAATTTTTAACTTCTATGATTATGGGTGTACCAAAATTATAAAAAAAGAAGATCACCTGACTTGGCTAGAAAGGGACCGAAGAAATATTTTTAGGAAGAAAAGTACAAATAAAAATGATGATTTAAATAATTAATAATAATTATACCCTTTATAATTCAGATTGTATTAATTATTAAATAAAAATTGTTAATTAAAAAATATAAAAATTAATTTTTATCTTTGCACTTTGCATAGACTACAAAAACACCAGTACAATGATCACTGAGATCTTTATGATGCTAATAACAGAGCCCACTTATAATTCGGTTAAGGATTTTACCGTCGGTCTTGGAGAGTTTAAAACACGAAACTCAAAATAGCTTAAGGGTTAAATACTTTTTTTTAAAAATAAATTTAACTTAATTTTTAATTTTTTAATATAAATTTTAAATTAATAATTAAAATTTTTTTCTTCTTATATAAAGTTTTTTTATTAGGTATTTTTATTTAATAAAAAAAATTTAATTATAATTTATATAAGATATTAAAATTTTTTAAAGTTTATGTTTAAAAAATTAAAAACTCAAATTATGATAATTAATTTTTTTCTTCATTTATTTTTAATAGATTTAGTTTAATTTTTTTAATTTTTTAAATATAAATTTAAAATAAAATTTAACAGCATATATATAATAATTAAAAATTTTTTATATAAAATTTTTATTGAATATTTTTATTTAATAAAAAATTTTAATTATTATTTATATAATATATTAAATTTTTATTTAAATTTTATATTAAAAATTTAAAAATTTAAATTATTACTGTAAAAAATAAATTGAGAGTAAATAAAAAATGGAGTGGGCGAACGAACGAGCCTTGGATTTGACCCACTTCACAGTCTTGTGGGTTCAGCCGTTCAGGTGCTGTCCCCAAAAGCAAAGCCGCTCCTGTTAGCCGATTCACAGCAGCCTGAGCCAAGCCTTCAAGATTTTTTTATCCGCAATTTTCTCTTGTTTTGTTTTGGAATATTAGAAT